ACAACCACAACCACAACCAGAAGTATTTCAACATGTTCCTCAACAACCATTTGATTATGCTAAATATCGTCGTGATATTGAACAACAACAACGTGTACTTGAACAACATTATCAAAAAATGCAAAATATTCAACCTCAACCAGAACGTACATCTGAAGCAGAATTTTATCTTGGTATAAAGTTTTTCTTCTAAATAATATCTAAAACAAAAAACAAAATTTTTTTTTGTTTTTATTTAAAAAATTAGGTTCTGGACGTCGTGCATTAATTGAACGTGAAATTCATTCAATGCGTGAATCAATACGTCCACATGAACATGCTCCACCACGTTATAAACATGAACCTGCACGTCGTTCATTATCAATAAGTTATACAGGTGGACAACGTTATGTACGTGCACGTATTATTCATGTTAAAGATTTCTTTGAAGCAAATCAACAAGAACAACCACCACAACCTGCAAAAGAACAAGAATTATTTGTTCGTGTTGATGATTATATTAATGAATCAGCAGCAAATGCTTTACGTCGTGCATATTCTACTGATTATTTACAAGAAGATGGACCACGTTCAAGAATTCAATATATGCGTATACCAGGAGAAACAATAAAAATTGAAGAAAAAACAACATATGAATATCAAGGTGTTATGTATGCTGATTTACCATATTCATTAAAATATTGGAATATACTTCATCTTCTTGATTGTGAAGCTCGTCAAGGTCGTCCACTTGGTTCAACATTACCACATGTTATTGTTAATGATCCATATCGAACAGTGATACCACCATTAACACAACAAGAAATTTGTCAAACAGCACAACAAGTTTTATTATCACAACCTTATCCACGATCACATACAGATAAAACATTACGTTGGTTTTTATCACGTGATAAACGTACTGAAATTGAAACTGCTAAATATTTACGAGCATTAAATCATTATCGTCGACAACAACAACAACAACAACAACGATTACAACAGCAACAATATGAACAACAACTACTGCAGCAACAACAATATGAACAACAATCTCTACAACAACAACAATATGCACAACAACAACAATATGAACAACAATTATTGAAACAACAACAATATGAACAACAATTACTGCAACAACAACAATATCATCAACAATTACAACAGCAACAATATCAACAACAATATGAGCAACAATTACTACAACAACAATGTGTACAACAACAACAACAACAA